ACAGGAGCCAGTGAGGCAGAGTGAGAGTGAGGATCTAACGGCTAATGGGGGAAGTTAATGTGATCCGTTTCCAGCATTGTCACTAAAGTATGTGATTTTTCAGACATTTCAACAAAATGTCGTGGTGGCAAGGTTTGAAATGTCTGCTGTATTTCTTCCAACCCGATCTCCTAGGAATTATGGCCATATTGGAAGACACAGCAGGTGCATCCCAAGTCTCTTATTTGTCATTTCCTGGCTCCTATCTTGATTCGATTGATAACCGAGGAAAAAACCAGACCATCCTTAGGGGAAAAACCTCAGCCGGCCGACCACACCCTTAATGTGTATCTGTCACTAATGCTACTTAACATCAGTGCAATGCATCAGATTACACTCCGGTGAATCACTCCTAAGTATGTGGTCAGTATACAAAACTGACAACATACAACTAAGAAGCAAGTGAGGGAAACATGGTGTAATCTAATGGCGCTTTTCCACTGCAGCACGTAGCACGGTTTAAGCATGCCGGGCCAAACCAGGCACGCTTTTTTTTGCTTTTCCACTAGGAGTAGTTCCGGCCCAGGGCTACCTTTTCACCTTTTTTCTGGCCCTCCAAAATCGAGGTTCTTACCGGGCCAACAACCGGGCTGAATATGCTAAACTAGTGACGTAAATACTCTCGACTGCCGAATGGTGGAGAGAATCGCTGGCAAGGGGGCTACAACAACAACAACAACATGAACATATTTGACCGTGATTTAATTGTAATACACGTTTCAAAATGATGCCGAAGTAACAACATACTGATACCGGTCTGCAGACAAGACGGCAGGCGAAAAACCTTTTAAAATGCGTGTTGTCTGAATGGAGATCGGATCGACCAGGCTAAGCTAACGTTGTATATGCTCCGTCCACACTCACAACAACGGCCTACAGACATAAACCAGCGACTGTATTCGCCATGACACAGACAGTCTGTGGTTTGTACTTGTTTAACTTTTGTCTAGTTTCTGAACAGATATGAGGAGCTGTGAGCTCTGAGTGCTAAGAGCTAACGGCTGATGTTATGGTTTTGTGGTTCGCATTGAAGATGACGTCACTGCAGTTTTATGCAGCATCTCTCCGCCTGCCAAACAGCCGATCACCCCGCCTACACTGCGTTACTATAGTTACTACCCCTGTTACTAAACTGTAATGAAAACACTACATCAAGTGAGCCTGGCCTACCAAGGCCTAACCATCCCGTACTAAGCCGTGCTAGGTCCTGCAGTGGAAAAGCGCCATAAGAGACTTGGGATGCAGCTCATGATTCACATTCAGGGCCAATACAGGAAGTAGTTTGTTCTTTCTGTAGTAAGCTGTGCAAGTTAGGGTGGCGAGTATCTGTGTGTCAAAATGTAGGAACTTACAGTTGCAAGAAAAAGTATGTGAACCCTTTGGAATGACCTGGATTTCTGCATAAGTTGGTCATAAAATGTGTTCTGATCTTCATCTAAGTCACAACAATAGACAAACACAGTCTGCTTAAACAAATACCACACAAACAATGATATGTTTTCATGTTTTTATTGAACACACCATGAAAACATTCACAGTGCAGGGTGGAATGTGAACCCCTAGGCTAAAGACTTCTTCAAGAGCTAATTGGAGTCAGCAGTCAGCCAACCTGGAGTCCAATCAATGAGACGAGATTGGAGGTGTTGGTTAAAGCTGCCCTGCCCTATAAAAAATACACACCAGTTTTCAATTTGCTATTCTTAAGAAGCATTGCCAGATGTGAACCATGCCTCGCACAAAAGAGGACACATCAAACAAAACTCCTGTAATACAAATGAAATCCAGCCATTCATTAGGCCCACCATCCACCTCCCTATATTTAAATAAGTATAATCAAATTCACACACGGAGAGGGAGGAGAGGTGTGTGCTGGTTGTGCACAGGCCTAAAAAATAGTTGTCCCATCACCTGAGAGAGCGCCAGGTTACATGCTGCAGGACCTGCTGGTCTGCTGCTGGAAATGACGCACACACACACACACACACACACACACACGCACACACACACGCACACACACACCACTCTCTGGGCCCCCTGGTAGTCACACGGCTCCATAATATAACTGGCAAAAATGTAAGAATGTCATGCATCGGCCTACAGGTTTAATCTGAGTAGAAATATCAAATATCACTACTTTTCTTCTAAATGAAATGCTGACATTACAAAATGCATGGTTTTATACTGCAATGGCAGTGAGATCAAAAAATGTGGTCTGAATGGAAGTCAATGAGGCATTTTTGAGAGAAATGAAATCATTCAAATAATGAAACAGGCATTTAAAGGGTTAAAATCCAGAACATTGTTGAATGTTTGGTAGTTTTGAGTACATTAGAAGTTGTTTAAGTGATTCATGAAAAAAAAAGTGGAAAAAAATATTGATGTATGATTTAATAGCAGTTATTATGGGCATGTACATTTTTGCCACGAAGGGGTCAAAAGGTTGAAAATTCGAGGAGGGCACAAGGGTTAAATGAGCAAAAATAGCACTATTATCAAAGCTAGTTCAGAAACTATTTTAAAGACATTTAAATAATAAAGAAAGAAAACATTTACACAGAGTACAGTCAAATAAAATGCTATATTCAAATTGGAGAGCTGTGCAGATTTAGAGGTGTGGAGCAGAAATGTGTAACAATGGTTCAAAGGGTTGTTCAGGATTTACAGTATTCAAAAGAACAAGAGATTGTTCCCATGATGTTCATTAATGGGGTGGATAATCGTCACTGTCAGCGGGGGTCCCGGGCCTTAGCCCTGTAAGGCCCACTGGGCCTTAATGAGGCCGGAAGAAGATGGGAAGAAACTTAGTATGTAAATGTCATTCCCAGGAGACAGAGGTAAAGGAAAGAACGGAATCAGAGGGATGATCATTCACTTCCTGTTACCTAGGGTCAGAATCAAGTGTACAACTGAGCATTGTGTAGTCTGCAGAGGAGGAGTGGGCTAAAACAGTGTGCATACAGGACAGAGAGCAGAGGACAGACAGGGAACAGCTGGAGCACAATGACAGTGGGACAACAGCAACAATCTGGTAGGAGAGAGAGCAGCTGGTGTCTGTGGGCGGGAACACAGGACAGGCATGGACTAGAGGAGAAAAGGAGGCAGGTCAGGCGTCTCCAACACATGGAAGATGTTTATATTAGTGGAATAAACCAGTTTGACTCGCTATGTGTTATGGAATTGTAGAATATGTATATCTGCAGATTTGGGAGCGTCACTTTAAAAATAGATCCCATTTAATATCTAGTTACGTGCAAGAACAAGTAATCAGTAACATAAGAGTATCAAAATATAAAAGTAATGTAACCTGATTACTTTCCATTACTATTGGATTACCTCAATGTCAAATGCAATGCAAATAAATCCAAGAGAAAATAAATATCAACAAGATGTTTTTACTGATGTGTATGAGGTCACACAACAGAACAGTGTGACCTTAGAAAGAAGAAAGCAGGATATTTAGCATCAGAAATGATTTTAGGAAAAGGTGCCTTTCACTCAGCAGATCCAGCAGCAGCCTGTACACCAACACTGAAACACATGAGCACATACTACAGTTTAAACAAGCTGACAGGAAATGCTCTGTTTGTTTAATACACACAGTTAAGCTCACACACACTATTTTATGAACACATACACTGAACAAAAATATAAACGCAACACTTTTGTTTTTGCTCCCATTTTTCATGAGATGAACTCAAAGATCTAAAACATTTTCTTTATACACAAAATAACAATTTCTCTCATATTGTTCACAAATCTGAAAAAATCTGTGATAGTGAGCACTTCTCCTTTGCCGAGATAATCCATCCCACCTCACAGGTGTGGCATATCAAGATGCTGATTAGACAGCATGATTATTGCACAGGTGTGCCTTAGGCTGGCCACAATAAAAGGCCACTCTGAAACGTGCATTTTTGCTTTATTGGGGGGGGGTCTGTGGGGGGTCCGAAAACCAGGCAGTATCTGGTGTGAGGGGTAGGATTAGGGTTAGGGTAATGTTGTGAATCGAGTGGCCTGTGTTCGTTGTCCATAACATACGCCTGCCCATACCATAACCCCACCACCACCATGGGCCACTCGATTCACAACATTACCCTAACCCTAACCCTACCCCTCACACCAGATACTGACTGGTTTTCGGACCCCCCCCAGACCCCCCCAATAAAGCAAAAATGCACGTGTCATCTGCTGGGCCGCTGTTGACAAATGGACTGCCGGTTGTAATGAGGTTACTGCAGTACACCGCTGCAGCTTTAATGCTGATTTCACTTTGCTTCGCATGACTATTAAATACTGGGTCTTGTAAACAGAGCCCTGTGGTTCAAAATAAATGAATAACACATAATAAGCACGATAGGGTTAATGTGAGAAAATCCTGGTGAAAATATGTTCTGATCCTCTCTGCATGAGGAGAGGGATTTGATTTCACTATGCAGCATTTCATTTGACATTCTAGTCTATGTTATTCCTACTCTGTTTCTTCTTCTTGCACTGTGTTTATTGTTTTTTTATGTGGTGTATGTGTCAGTGGCCAGCCGTGACTTTTATACCTAGGCCCTCTGACCCCCCTTTCCTCGAGAAAAAAGAAGAGATATTACGTCACAGCCATAGACTGTATATGTCGGCAACTCTGCAGAATCCTATGGGTGACGTCACGGACCCTACGTCCATTTATATACAGTCTATGGGTGCAAAACGTGGTGTTTGTGTCAAACTTTGTAATGGTTTCTTGAACACAGTGGGAGCCTTTTCTCCAGAAGGCAAAGCAGCAGTGTATGAGTCTGACTGTGCAAAATACATCAGTGGGTTTTGACATTTCATGGGCATTAAAGGTGATAGATAAAAGAAAGTACACTTGTATAATCAACTATTATATAGTTTGTACTACTGAATAGATATGACATGAAGCTATGACTAAAATGTAACCTCACCCTTCTTCCTGTGTCTGTCCTTTATTGCAGATTGCTGAGACATCAAACTCATTCCTAAATCGAATGCTGAACAGAGACACCATCACAAGAATAACATATAAAAGTAAGTGTCCGTGTGCAGTCATTACAATGCCTAAGATTTGTTATTAATGAAAGCCAATTAGCTAACTATTGCAGATGGTGAGCTATTGAAACAGACATGCTAAAGATTGTAGATTACGTTAGGAAGAAGAATACTCTGTTTTATCAAATATTGCGACCAGAAATCTTTACAAGTGTACTGGTTATTTATACACATATATATACAGGGTATATGCAGGAATCCTGAAGTCAAAGTAAGACCTTTTAAGACCTTTTTTAAGACCCTTTCCGTACATTTTAAGACCTCATCGTCACTTGGAGTTCTAACCGGTTACCTTGGCGACACACTCTACCTCACATTGACTACATACAGTATTGATTGTCCTTCCTCCTTATCTTCCAACCATTTGGACGCAGACTTGCATTTCCCCATAACGATGTTGTTTAACAACCGGCGTAAACTGACCTTCGCGCTATCAAGCAGTGAGCGCGCGATGTCCTGTTCAGATAACGTCCAATCCAACGGGATGCCATAAATAAAGTACACAGAATCACACTACACACCTACGCAATGATTACATTCAGGCACACTGTAGAATACAATCTCTTTGGACCATTTATATACTTATTGAAAACAAGCTACAACATGTAACACCTTGGGAAATGCAGTTTAATACTTTTAATAGCCTTAATTTTCGCTAAATTGATTTATCAACTTGTAATACTTTTTAAGACCCCGCGGACACCCTGGTATATCTTTTCTTGATTCATAGGCTTTGTATATTTCTAACTGAAACGCCAGGCAATCTGCTTTAACATGTGGAGACCTTGACTGGTCATGGTTGCTGATCTATATGTATCACTGCTGGAAGAAATACTCTTTAAATACGCCACTACAAGTAAAAGTCCTGATTTCCAAATTGTACTTAGTAAAAGTACAAGTATGTATGTGTAGAAGTAGAAGTATAAAGAAGCAACTCAAGTAAAGTACAAAAACCTCAACAAAGTACTATACTTGAGTAAATGTACTTAATTACTTTGAACCACTAATTGATATATTATAAGAACTGGAAACCAGAGCAAAGATGGCGCCTAGTCAGTTCAGTATTCCTCGCCTGGTGCATAGAAAACGTTCTGCAGTGTTTCTCTAGCTGCACTGAACAAACTGAAACGTTGACTCTAATTAAATGTATTATGTCAACAGATTTATAAATGTATTGTATTGTATGTATTAGATTAGTAAAAAGTAATAATATCAAGTTTATTAGGTCAAACTTAATATTATTGCTTTCAACTAACCTAATACAGTTATGTGAAATCTGTTGACATGATACATTTAATTAAAGTCAACGGTTGAGCTTTTACACTGTGAACAATAGACTCATTTTCTTTGCAACTGCAGCCACAGTGACCCTTGCAGAGGAGCGGTGTGTGTCCACTCCCTATGGTACATCTGTGTTTCTCATCAAATCTGTCTTAATAAGTGCTTTTCTTTCGGATCTCTCAGAAATGTCAAAGTGCCAGTTGAAGGATGCTGCAGGATAGGGATGCATGGGAACTCTTATGCTGGGGGGGGGGGGGGGGTGTACTGTGGGTGAAGCAGCATGTGAGGCAGAAGCCGACAGCTGCTCTCCAGAGGTTGCTCTCTGCAGCACTGCACGGAGATGGCCCGGGGCTAGCTTTAAAAAAAGAGACAAGTAATTGGATTAATGGGAGCAGAGAGAGGAGGGATAAACACACTGACCCCTGGTGGCTGGTGGAGGAGTCTCTGAGGGCACCACGCGGGACAGGAGGCTGTGGCAGGGGGGGGGGCTCTGACAGCTGTCAAAACTCCCTCCGATTACCACTGTCTCACACACACATACAGTCCAACACCGCCCCCTCACGCTTATGACTCCACAGGCATAACCCTCCACCAGTGAGGGTGCCACACAACACACACACGCACGCACGCACACACACACACACACACACACACACACACACACACACACAGCACAGACACAGACAGACAGACAGACAGACAGACAGACAGACAGACAGACACACAGACAGACAGACAGACACACACACAGACACACACACTGTGATGGTACATCTGCGCTCTACATATGCATGTATATGCACCCACCTCTGCCACATTATTACCTCTGTCTCTGAGGCTTTGCAGCGCCACACAGCAGCTTGCCTCACAGGAGCCCTACTTTTACGAGTGTGTGTGTGTGTGTGTGTGTGTGTGTGTGTGGGTGGTGTGTGTTGGTGTGTGTGTGGTGTGTGTGTGTGTGTGTGTGTGACTCCAGAGAGACTAATATATTTCAGCCACATGATGGAAGATCAGCAACAGAGTTCAAAGTTCAAAGGCGTTACAGTGTGGTGATTCAATGAAACTCTGAAGTCACAGGCTCCTCCAACAGTGCACATTTATAATATATAACACATACCAGTGGCGAGCCGTCAGGGCCCTCTAGGCCCTCTCTGAGGGCCTAAGATATTCTAAGAAATAATATTTGAAAACATAAAAAAAACATTAAAAATTTAAAATATTTTTTTTTATATGTTTTTGTTGTTACATTTTTCATTAGTTTTACCAAAATAACTTGATTTAATTGTATTTCAAATAATATTTCCAAAGAAATAAATCCTTCGAATCTGCCTGTTCAGTTTCTATTGGAATGTGAAGGTTAAATGCCGTCTCTGCGAGTTATGTGAAGACGGGAGGAGCTTGTTGGTCCCTCTCTACATTCACAGAGGGCCAGCTATAGTAACTCAATGAGAGAGTAATGTCAAATGACAGTACAATTGACCAATCATATCTTCCCTCTAAATGGGCGGGCTTTATTTTCGCGGACTTTATGACAAGATCCGCCCGCTGTGAGGTCTATGCAAGTGGTGCAGTGACGCGTCCTAAAACACGCAAGTAAGCTTCACTCGGATTCCCTCGACAGAAAACAATGGGATTTCTCCATAGGGTTTTGGAAGATAGCTGGAAATAAGGTGTGTGGAAAACGAACCTGTTAGATAAATGCACGTTGTGTTCAGTCGGATAATATCCACATGTCTATCCTACTTTTATTATTTTCGAATCATAAATCTATCGATTAGATTTATGATCGATAGATTAAGATTAGCATAAGTTCGTTCATGATGGCTCACTTCAGTGATAGTGAGGACATCGTTGGCGAAATTATTAACGAAGTCATTTTTCAAGATTGATTTACAATGATAAACTGGAGTGGCAACGTATCAGCTGCATGACCCCGCCATCAAGTGCTTCATCCAAAAGGACAGGAGGGCCGCCGTGCCGACTAATTCATTGTAATTGCTACTTGTCTGTGGGTTGCCCTGTCATGATAGGTGTTTTATATAAATGGTGTTGTTCTGTGTGGTTAGAGGGTTCGCTTCGCTGTCATTGATGCGTTTTGCACCCCATAGACTGTATATAAATGGACGTAGGGTCCGGTGACGTCACCATAGGATTCTGCAGATTGCCGACATATACAGTCTATGGCTGGACGTAATATCTCTTCTTTTTTCTCGAGGAAAGGGGGGTCAGAGGGCCTAGGTATAAAAGTCACGGCTGGCCACTGACACATACACCACATAAAAAAACAATAAACCAGTGCAAGAAGAAACAGAGTAGGAATAACATAGACTAGAATGTTCAAATGAAATGCCTGCATAGTGAAATCAAATCCCTCTCCTCATGCAGAGAGGATCAGAAACATATTTTCACCAGGATTTTCTCACATTAACCCTATCGTGCTTATTATTGTGTTATTCATTTATTTTGAACCACAGGGCTCTGTTTACAAGACCCAGTATTTAATAGTCATGCGAAGCAAAGTGAAATCAGCATTAAAGCTGCAGCGGTGTACTGCAGTAACCTCATTACAACCGGCAGTCCATTTGTCAGCAGCGGCCCAGCAGATGACACGTTATGGAGAGCGTGTCACTGGAGTGTGAAGAGGAAGTGCAGTTTGTCTAATTAGCGTCCTGACAGAGGAGACACTTTGGATAAAAGAGGCTGTGCTGCAACACCAACAGCCTGTCATTCACAGCACACTGAGTGATGGTGGAAGAAGAAGCAGGAGAAATGGAAGATGAGCTCAGTGTTTGATGAGTGGGAGGGGTCTACAGCCCGCGCATCAGAGCAGGAGGTACGAGGTGAACTGTCATAAAACAAGAGCCCCCACCCCCTGTTCCACACACAGTGCACTCCACTGTTCTGATGAGTGTGCAGAACTGTGGTATTAATACATTTCCAACAATAGCACCAACAGTAGCTCACACTGCTCCCTGCTAAATGAACCACATGTTAATAAACCTTTCAGTGAAGTCGTGAGAATAATGTCCAAACGACTTATTGTCTGAGGAGGATAGTAACAAAGTGACTAAGTACATTTACTCAAATACGGTACTTAAGTACCATTTTTAGATATTTGTACTTGAGCATTTCCATTTTCTGCTACTTTTTACGCAAGTTTTAGGCACTTAGTATTTCTAGTTGATTGTGTAGGGAACAGGAAGTGAGTGAAGACACAGACACACTGTGTGTCCTTCAGAATCAAAACATTTCACTTCATACTTTTTTTTTTTACAGAGAAATGTCGGGACGACTATAACATTTTAGTTTTATGCATAGCAACAGCTGAAACTCTACAGCATACATTCATAAACACAAACCTGCAGGCTGCAAGACTCTGGGGTTAACACAACACACTCGTGCACTCAATAAGTAAAAGAGGGTGGTTAAAAATGTGTCTGTGTATGTGTGATGTTTAACAAAAAATAAACATACCTTTTAGGATGTGTGGTTGGTTGGGAGGCTTGAAGTTACAGCCATCACAATCAACATCAACTTTTGAATATAAAAATATAACATAATAAGTACCGTAGAAATAGCTTAAATGTGTATCTGCAGGCAGCTTGAGTTCATTTGCTAATTTAATATTTGTATCTTCCTGTGCTTTAAAGGGATAGTGGAAATCCGCGAATTTTGGGTTTAACTTTTGTATTTTTATAAAAAAGAAGCATAATAAACAATTTTTTTTATTTCATGCGCCTAGTTTCATTTTATTTTCAATTTTACTGCGCCCTCTCAATGAAACGAAATACTTCGGGAATCGTCGGGAATCTTCGGGTGATGACGAGAGCAAAGGAAGACGGGCACAAACAATGGCGGACATTCAATAGCATTTGCATGTGAATAGCCGACCTTTATTATGGTGAATAGATTGTGTTTGTATGGCTGTAGTGCGACAGCAAATGCAGAGAATGGCAGTATCGACGCATGCGTTTCCAAGAAACCCAGCCATTCGTCGTCAGTGGGTGAAATTTGTTCAGATAACACAGGCAAACTTCACGGAGCCGAAGCTGACGAGTAATTCGGCAGTCGTGTGCTCCCGTCATTTTACTGACGATTGTTTCGAGATTCCTCGGTCTCTAGCTCAAATTGAAAGTGGAATACATAAGAAGTGAGTATTTTATTATGTTTTCTTGTTGATTTAATGCATCATTAGCCTGTACCATTTTGTACAACGCCATTTATCCGGTACACAGTGTCGAATGTGTACACTACAGTCATCATATAGACATGATAGACTAACAGTACTGTGAGTACAGCCTACACTTGACAGGCAGCCTGGCTATCCTAGGATGTTGTTTACTTTCTCTTTTCTGGCTGATAGCTCCAGGAATTCGAGGGTCTTACAGTGATGACATTACATGTGTGGAATCTGTGGAGTCTCAGCTTTAAATCGTATATCTTGTTTGTGCAGTTAAGATAGTAATAAGGCATTTCTACCGTGTGTTGTGTGTAAAAAAGCGTTAGCATTAGTTAGCATTGTTTCGCTCAATGCTAATTCAAAGGCTTGGTATTACTCTTGTGTTTTTTTTAGCTAACAATTGTTCTTATTGTCAGTTAGCGGAGTTTCTTACCTTTAAAAGGGTATGAAACATTAATAGTTTCATAAATGTTAAGGAGCCCTGAGACATGTGAGAGAAAAAAAACTGTGGGAGGGGTCCACTGGGGGGACCTTCGGGCTAACTGGTTAACAATGATTAATATTTGTAAAGGCTACAGGTGATCTTAAGATGCGTGAGCTATGCTTAGGGACCTACCAGTCAAGATTATTTGTGCGTAGGGGGTGCATCATCTGGCGCCTGGTCCTGGTCATCCTCGCCATTGCCCATGCCGTGAACCATCACCTCGGGCTCGGGCTCGAACAAATAAGGACGTAATGGTTCATCGTCTGGCCTCAATATTGTCACCATCGTCGCTTACTGAACCGGATTCAGATTCAGTTCCTAAAACGACATTTTCGTAGGAAAGCCGAGAGGATGTATCTGACTCGCTATCATCACTGGATACCTCGTACAATCCTTCTTCTTTGTCTGGTATATTTGCCCTTCCACGTTCATTCTGCATAGACGCCATGGTTTGTTATCGTATCGTCTTCCTGAGTTTTCGTCACTTCCGGTTTAGGCTGAGAAACATTTCGTTTCTAAAAAACTTCGGGGAAGCTGCCAATAAAGTGCTTCTAACATGCGTAAGGCATTTATTATATTTTTTTAATCAGGTGTGATTGTTTTGGTACGTAATTATGCTTGTATATAAGTTAAAACGAAACTATTTGAGGTTCCATTTCCACTATCCCTTTAAGTTGTGAACATGAGTGATGTTACCCTCCAGTTCCCATAGCGATTCCCCATCTGCGTCAGAGACAACAGACCGGATCAGGACCACTCCTCTACTGCAGTGGTGCAGATGATTAGAGGAAGAACAAGAACACTTTTCTGACTTTCACCAGTTTTATTATTCTTGTGAAATCTTTGGAAATAGAACATTTGGTTGAGGGAAATGATTTGAGTCCTCTGGTGGCACCATTTTGATTCTTTTTGTGTTGCTCTATTTGAACATACACATAAAATGTAAAAGCACAGCACTGTCCTGTGATGACTCGTTAAAAGCTTTTCTCCCCACAGATGATGCGTATCTACTGACCAGCCTGAACATAGAGGAGATCTACCCGGAGACGAGTAGTTTCATCACCTACGATGGATCCATGACCACCCCTCCGTGCTTTGAGACCGTCACATGGCTGTTGATGAACAAGCCGGTGTACCTCACACGCATGCAGGTGACCCCCCCCCGCAAACACACATCTCTCTCTGTCTGCTAACCGCTGTGAGGCTTTTACTCCAACACGCTTCTTTTGTCAAATCCTTCATACTTGGAGTATTTTACATGAGGCTGTGGCTCAGTGGGTTAGTGTGCTGAGCTTCAGAATCAGAACACCTTTATTAGTCCCACAGAGGGGAAAGGTACATTGTTACAGCAGAAAAGAGCCACAGACAGCTTAATGTTACCTAACAAGTATTAAAATATTAAAGATAAAACAATTATGATAAAAATTACACAATTTATAAAATACACATCCTGTAATGTTGTGAGGATTTAGCAGCCAGGTATATATTGTAGTTATTAACGGCATATATATATATATATATTGCACATATTGCACATAGTTGGTATTAAACAACAAGGGGTGTTATAGTCTGTGTTGTTGTGTGTGGGGGGCTCTACCAGGGGCCGTGGTTAACTTGGGATCTGGAGAGCTCTGGTTCCATCCCCACTGCAGTCAGCATGTCACTGTGTCCCTGAGTAAGACACTTCCCCCCAAATGATGCCTTGTCCTTTTTCTCTAACGTGCGTTCCCCTCCCTGTTAGATGCACTCCTTGCGGCTGCTGAGCCAGAACCAGCCGTCTCAGATCTTCCTGAGCATGAGCGACAATGTGCGCCCGGTCCAGGAGCTGAACAACCGCTGCATCCGCACCAACATCAACTTCAGCATGCAGGGCAAAGACTGCCCCAACAACCGGGCCCAGAAGCTCCAATACCGAGGTACAAACACAATCAGGTCCCCCTGTCACCATGCAGCACCATCTCTATTCCTTTGGTCTTCATTATTTCTCTCGCTCAGCTGATTATGCAGGCCCATCTGTGCACTCTGTTCATAGCATTAGCACACCTACACTTTTTCAGAACAAAAAGCGACTATGAAGAAGCTCACTTCTATTCTTTTAGAGGTGTAAATGCAGAAAATCAACTATACTGGCAGCTAACATCACATATTCACTTCCTCATCTTCTGTTAAATAAGCACGATCAATACAACTCAACATACTATCATCTTTAAGGGGGAATATTGCTCCTGATGTCATTTTACATTTGACACTCACATTGATTCCAAAACATCATTGCTTGAACTTCACTCACTATTGTACTGAATGAATAAGACATGTAAAGAGCTGGTGTGAGCTGAGGTCTGGGATAAAGCATGCTGACGCTGAACACCTGTTTGGCTCTGAGTGACATATGAAAACTCTCAAAGCTCAATAGAGAGGCAAAGTCCCTCCCCTTCCGGTCAAAACATTTGTCAATTTAAAAGATAATTTTGCAAGTCAAAACATTTCAAATGTGTCGTAAAACTGTGAAGTAACACATTTGTTTGTGTGAAGCGCTCAATGAACTACATCTCTGGTCTCACATACGTCACCAACACCAAGATGGCCGTCACGTTAGCACATTTCACCTCTTTCTTTCAGAATGAGGCGGAAAGTATTAAGAGGTGAAAAATTACTCCAAGTCTGGGCACGTTGAGAGCTGTACATACACACAAGGGGAGTTAGTCGGTTCCGTAAGAGCCAGCATGCGGACCGGGACTCTGGGATTTGTAGTCTTTCTAGTTGCGTATTTTTCATAGTCTTATATTTCAACAGTTTTACAACAAACTGTGACTTTTTTGACACGGAAAATATTTCTTAAGATTGACAAACATCATATGTGTAATTCGTGGCACAATTCAAACGGGATCCAAAGATAAGTTTTCTCTCTCCATTGACTTCAATACATACTGTAACGTTCCCAAGATGAGTCGGAGACAGGCTTGTAGTTATTAGGCTTTAATAACTAGTATTTGAAGACAGATGATAACAGGTCAAGTACACTTCGTGGGTTCTACCGCACACTAACTTATTTCCTAAACCAACCACAAGATATAGCACTGTCTACGTCACAACTCCCCGTCCCCCCCACCAACCACAGGCCCACACCACAGCCACCATCACGGTGCAGCTCTATGATTGGCAGAGAGACGGGGGATGCCTAAGTGGCACCCTGAGTAGCCTATCAGGATCGCTACAATACTTACCTTATTTGACAAACCCCCCCCTCTGTTTCAGCCGATATATCTGGGCAACTGTGCAATGCTGAACACATGTTGAATTTCACTGCTGAAGTATAGATACACTAAAGGCCAAAGGTAGCCCCTGTCCCTGCTATTCACTGTGTTATTTATTATTGTCTTTACATTGAAGTTCAACATTTACTGTACTGTGGCTGACACACACACACATGCACGCGCATACACACCAGTGACGTGCGGTGAGGTTCATGGCTGGTGAGGCACTGACTCTTTCAGAGTCAGATTTACAAATATTATATTTTGACCTTAATCAAATATTCGGTTATTTTCAAAAGCTTTTTTAGTCTGATGCTTCAGATTCATTTTAAACAGACCTGTTCAACAAAAGGATACCCAACATCTAAATATTGGATTGTTCTTTCTTAGTAAGATCCCATTTTCATTACAATGGTGGTCTTACCTTGACTTGAAGATGAAGTCCATGCTATCCTTCTGGACAACAATCTCCATTACTTTTTTGTAAAAGTCCTCCTTATCTTCCTCTAGTTTCAAAAGTCTAGTTTGTTGTTTGCTACCGTCTCTGCGTAGAATAACAGTAGCAACAAGAACTTGTGGGCTCACTGTGCGCCCCCTTCAGTGCGGCAGAGGTTATGGCTGCCTCCTCCTGGTGCTTTTTTCATTGTCGTTGTATGATGAGACCAGCGAGCCTAAATATCATATATACGTGAAATAAGTTATTTAGAGACTATGGATGGCGAGGATAAATGTAATAAAGGGATCTACTAAACATTACATTGGTGACATACAGTGAGATGGTGCAGGCATGCGCTTAGGGCCCGCTTTTCCAGCCAGTTTCTGTGAGGTGACGCATTTTGAGGTGAGGCAGAGCTCATCTGTGCCTCACCTCACCCCACAGTAACTGGCTGGAGCGCGCTCACAAAATAAGTGCCCGCGTTACATTAGTGCCCGCGCTCGAGCAAGTTACTGTGGGTTTACGAGAGGCAGAGCTCGTCCCTGCCTCACTCCTCATCGCTCCCATGTAGTTGTAGCGGAGCTCGGCCAATTTGCTGATTTTGACTATAAAAAGCGATTGGAATCATACAGAAATCACATTTACAACACAGATCAGTGGAGACATGTTATTATTATTACTATTTAGTTTTTCTTTAGTTGTTTTTTCCGTTACATTGGAGTATGGCCAGTCTATGAGTATGACAGGTGAGGCTCTGCCTCCCCTGCCTGCCCTGACTGCACGTCGCTGCTACACACACATCGTGATTGTCATGATTGTCTTTCTGTCCGTCCGTATCTCTCTCTCTCTCAATGTTATGCTCTACTCGACCCACTGAACCCCCATAAAGGACATTTTTATTTTGTGCAGCAACTATGGTGAGATACCCCCCCCCCCCCCCATCCACCTCAAATCGCTCTGGTTTTGGAACAAATGCACACACCAGAGAGGAACCAAAAAAATGCAAAAGTAGACCTGCTTATTCAATGGTTGAGAGATTGTGTATGTGTGTGTGTGTGTGTGTGTGTGTGTGTGTGTGTGTGTGTGCACGGTGTGTGTTTAAAACCTGATTTAGGGAATTGAGATTATGACAACACTCCTGTAATTCCTTTGTTTCAGAAAATCACTTTTTCAATCAAATGTCCTTGTTTACTTGTGTTTTGGATATGAATTTCACTAAATGCTGCAACTCCACCCACACACCAGGGCATCCACTGCAGGGCCATTCCTTTTGAACTACATGCTATTGCTAAAGATGAAATATGGTGTAGGGAGAATAATGCCGGAGAACAGTTGAACTGTGGAGAGCTCGCAAATATAAATCAGTATTCTAACTCCTGTCTTTCTCCTCTCTTCCAGTGAACGAGTGGTTGCTAAAGTAGCCTCCCTTGGCTGAGCATGGAGACGGGTGTCAGACGTGGAGAGAGGAAGAGGATGGAGGAGAGGAAGAGCCCGTGCTGCATCTCATCTAAGATTATGTCATGGCATTGTATAAAGACAAACAGCACAGGACATTATAAGGAACTTTGTATTGCGAGCAAAAAGACACACATTGAACAGTTTAAACCCTCTAACACATGTTACCAAGCCCTGTCCCCACTGTACAACTATATCTATACAGACATTTTGATACCAATACTTTTTTGGGACAAAACCAAAAAAAAGACACTTGGAAAGAAACAAAAAAGAATATTGATAGCATCCCAACTAATATGAGAATGATGGGACTTAAAGCCTTTGTACATAAACATTTTGCTATCAGTGGGAACATCCAAGGACTAAGTCACTGCCCCCCCCCCCCCCCCCCTCCCCCCCGAAGTGGTCGGCCTCACACGGCTGCTGCATCACAGTCACAACCCAGGCATGCAATCAGAAAACCAACAGAGGGAACCAAGCCTTACCTTGCCATTTTCCAAAACCAGAGTCATGTCATGGAGACGAGCGAATATTTACAGGCTTTCTTACGGCCTCAGAACAACCGGTGTCTTTGCCTCGTTTGTACATATTATTATTATCAATACTTCAGAAAAATGAATATGTAAAGAAAAGTAATGAATTAACATTCAAAAGATATATAAAGAGGATTTTAAAAAAAGACAAAAAGTTGTGAATTTTAAAAAGCTTGGCGCAGTCCTCCTGAAGTTCTCAGCCCGAGCCGATGCCTTTTTCTGTTTTATTGTTTACAATGGTCATACACTGTGTTTGAGTAATGTTATCCGCCCAATAAATGTGTCTGGACAGTTCACTTTGGAAAATGCTTCACTATATGAGGATCTGACTTATTGTACCTGTACCTGTTTTGTACTGTTCCATATTAAATGTGTTGATATGTCAATGTTTCCCTCAGAGGCATGCTCAATAACACTGTCTTCACCAAGCCAGCGTCGCTAAGGTTACAGAGGGGTCACAATCAGTCTGTTGTCAGTACTGTGAACCCAGAAATGTTGAGTATTACCACGAGCAGTGTTGCTACCATTGGATAGAGAGCACAACATGGAAATTATTACCTCTACATATTTTTTTCAAATAAGCATTCTGTACAATTCAAATGATCAAGACATTAATCAAAATCAGTCCACCAACCTCCACTTTCTGGTTAAAACTGTATATAGATTCAGCATCCTTAATAACCCTCAAAACCACGAAGAAATTATCCAAAAATATGTTTTTTTTAACTATTGTCCACGCTACAATGCTAATTGATGCTAACTAACCCAACTTACCGCTAACTGTGCACATTTGAAACTGCATCCGGCAGTTTCTATGTGCTGGGGACCCGTACTAAACATTTCTATCATAAAACTCTGGGGTATACTCAACATTTCCGGGTTCACAACAGGACTCTATGAGCTGGTAAATAGAATATATTAGGGCAGCATCTTCTCACTGAAGCTCTTTGTGAATGACATGAGTCTCCTGATCATACTGCTGCAGCTCAGTCCACCTTTATTCCCATTGTTGGTCTGACGCGGGTGAAGCTTGTCAGCCTGCACAGGAAGATCTGTCAAATCACATTAGGGGGACAAAAAGAGAGGAACCTCCGCTGCTGTGCTCATGAGGGTGCAGGCTTTATAATACAGGTACCATGTTGACTGTCAACAAGAAGAGGAAGTCAGGCAGGAGTCTACTTCTGGTTTGATAGGTGGTTATCAAAGATCAAATTAAATCAATGATTGTGTAGAATGTGGATTGTTAACCCCAGACACATCTTTCACTTTCTCAGCAGGTCAATGACAGCTGCACTTCCTCCAATGCCCACTAACACATCCAGGTTTAAATGCTCATCTTGAGTAGTTTATGTGAACCGGATGTTTTTTTAGTTTTACTCATCTGTTTGAATTATAATAAGGAATACAGTTATCCATAATAATAAATAATAAAATAATAAGGGCTTTCCAGGTTAAAAAGATTTACAGAAGGATATTAAAGAAACCCATGCACTCTTACAAAGCAGTTGATTGTAAAGAAATGTTAACATATATAAACAAATATGATTCCAATATATGAGGTGATGTCATAAAAGGCAGATAGACATTACGAAAATGATGGACCATACAACACTAGGACATCAAGACCTTGAGGAACATCATACAAAAAATGATGTTTCAATATTTCGTATTTCGTATCTGGACGTGGGCTGCTGTGTAGCTCACTTTGGTAGAGCTGGAGGAGCGATCACTGGATCAGACCCCACTGGGAGCACATGGGTTTGTTTTGACCCAGGGAACATTTACGCATGTCATCCCCTCTGTCTCACCCTTACAGCTGTGTCTCTCCAATTATAATAATAATAATACATTTTATTTCTATAGCGCTTTTCTTGTACCCAAAGACGCTTTAAATATTTTTAATTACATTTTTATTATATTAATTATTAATTATGAGGTCAAGTATTTAAATATGGTGTCACTACAATAAGATGGCGACTATGGAGACCATAATTGAGCTCATTAAAACCACAAGAGTCCAGTCACAGGTATCCTTGTGTGCACTCACCATAGTAATACAGGTGTCTTTTGTTCAGTTTTATTCGAAAGTACGTATAAAAAAAAGCAAGCCATTTTCACTAGCCAAAATTAACCTGCCAAATACTCTCACAGTAAAGGTGAATTAGGATGCACCTTGTTAACTAAGCGAGCTAGGTAGCATTAGCATTGGCTGCTAACTTTGCTTTTGTCCAGCTCCATCCTCTCTCAAAACATGGTTTCTTCTGGCACCAAAGATGGTGATGGCCAACAACCAAACTCATGGCTTCTAAACTGTATTCCACAAACCAATTGGTGACTACGTCCGGTATATGAATAAATATATTTGATAGAATAATACACAGTCTATGAGCCAAACATCTGGACCTCTTGCAATATGATTTCATCCTGAAATGATTGTAATTGTACATGAAACAGCACAGTACTAAGAGTTGTAGTTGACTGTAGCTACATTTCTTTCAATTACTCCTCACAATATCTTAAAGGGGACCTATCATGCAAAATGCACTTTTTGATGTCTTTTATACATAAATATGTGTCCCCGGTGTGTCAGGGAACTCACAAAGTGTCAGAAAACAAAACCCTTTCTCTTTTCCTCCGTACCCACATCTCTAAAAAGAAAAGAAAAAGGGGGGGTCTAACAAGCAGATCCAGAATTTGCGACATCCGGCCGACGTGACACGTCCCAACCTATCGTCTCCGGCACACGTGACACGTCCCAACTTATAGAGAGCCGAAGTCCCTCCCTTTCTGGTGGAATTCCATGGGACCTTATTTCGGAAGAATTATGTATTGAAGTCAATGGCGAGAGAAAAATTCTCTTTCGATCCCGTTTGAATTGTGCCACGAATTACACATATGATGTTTGTCAATCTTAAAAAATCACTTCCATGTAAAAAAAGTCACAGTTTGTCATAAAACTGTTGAAATATAAGACTATGAAAAATACGCAACTAGAAAGACTACAAATCCAAGAGTCGCGTAAGTGATGTCATAATTTATTCGCTCCACTAAATATAAGAGATAGCTCAAATAAGATAACTTTAACAAGATGCCTGTGTGCTTTGAACCAGGTTGTAATCATACCAGCAATGGGTCTTGCTCGTTCTTTCGCTTCCCGTCTGATGAAAGGACCAGGAGTGGCTGGATCAAGTTAGCTACCTAGCTAGTAGCAAGCCCGTTAGTTAGCATTACAGCCTTAGCCTTTTCATTTTTGTTAGCCTTAACATGAAGAAACACTAAGTAACCCAAAATGTTAAACAGTAAGAGTAGTCATGATGGGAAATATTTCGTGAACTCTTTGAAGAGTACTGTCACACCGGTGTGATCATTCTGTAATACACCATTTAAGCCTGGATGCCCCCGTCCCCGGGGCAGACATGCTAACGATAATTGTTCTGTCCTCATCAGGACATTGTTGTTCATTTGTTGGATTTGTCTCCCCCTGCTGGCGGTAGTCGTAATGTGTAGAATATGTACCATGTGACCTAGTGAATAAGGAAGCTGCATGTGAACAGGACAGCCACATGCTTTTTTGGTGACCACAATCTGCCCTAATCCTTGACGTTCCGTGCCTTTGGTCGCATTATTGGTATGTACAATTGATATAAACGTAGTGTTCTTTCATTTACAATGAATATGTTTATAGAGAATAGTTTGAGATGATAGTTAATGTGTGTTGTAAATTCCTCTGTAGAACTACCGTTAGCCACAGCCATAATTTTGTGCTACAGCCACGTGTGTGTATGTTCTTTGGTGTTGATTCAACGTATAATGTGTGTAAATATTCTTCCGCATATTTATGTACTTCTTGTATTGTGTTTATTTCCTAGTTTCACCCTTTCTTCAAGATTAAAAGCGATTAAACGACATATACGGTCTCTAGTCCTTGATGGTGGAAGGTGTTTAGCTGGCAGTCAAAGTGCACAAGAGATACGTGCACGTAGGACGACACAGTGAAACAATAATGCGACCAAAGGCACGGAACGTCAAGGATTATGTCAGATTGTGAAAGTCACAACACAGCCCTACATCCAGGACCCCCAACCTGGAAGGCCACAGACCCTGCCATAGAGTATGGCGGGGAGGATGAAAGTACACCTGCCAACATTGCAGCCCTGTGTACCAGTGTCTGCGGTGGGGACCTGAGCGGCAAGTCATGTTCCAAGATCTGTCTCGTCAAAGTCTTCCATTCAAGTTATCCAGACAAAGCACTAAAGCTTTATGCCATCCTCGACGATCAAAGTAACAGGTCACTTGCTTGACCAGAGTTTTTTTATCTTTTCAAGATACAAGGCCCCAAGTCACCTTACTCACTGAAGACATGCGCAGGAGTGGTAGAGACAGCTGGAAGAAGAGCGACTGATTTCCAAATCGAATCTCTTGATGGACAGGTTCGTGTATCCCTCCCTACGCTAATTGAGTGTAACGAGATTCCTGACAACAGATCAGAAATTCCCACTCCAGAAGCTGCTCTCCACCATGCACACCTAAAATCTGTAGCTCTTCAGATTCCTAAGATGGACAACCAAGCCCCAATACTGCTTCTCCTTGGAAGAGACATAATAAGACTACACAAAGTGCGGGAACAGATTAATGGTCCCCACGATGCACCTTATGCTCAGAGGCTCGACCTCGGATGGGTACTTGTGGGAGAGGTCTGTTTGGGAAAAGTCCACAAGCCATCCATCGTGAACATTTTCCTCACAAACATGCTAGAGAACGGTCGTCCATCTCTGTTTCAACCTTGTCCAAATCGCCTACTCATCAAAGAAAGATACAGCGACTCTAGGTCAACTGAGCTCACAAAGAGCTACTTCAGTGATGAGACCGCCTGTGACAAAGGAGAAGACCATCTTGGGTGTACAGTGTTCCAAAGAACTAAGGAAGATAACAAAATAGCTCCCTCGATTGAAGACAAGGTGTTCATAAAGACCATGGAACAAGGATTCCGAAAGGATGACGCCAACAACTGGGTTGCCCCTCTCCCCTTCAGGACACAGAGGCGACGTCTTCCAGACAATCGAGCACAGGCAATCAAACGCCTCTCTGCACTCAGACGCAACTTTGACAGAAAACCGGAGATGAGAGACCATTTCTTCCTTTTCATGTAAAAGATATTCGAAAATGACCATGCAGAGATCGCTCCCCCTCTGAAGGACAATGAAGAACATTGTTACCTTCCTACCTTTGGTGTGTACCACCCGAAAAAACCTGGACAGATTCGTGTGGTATTTGACTCTAGCGCACAGTACGAAGGAGTTTCACTTAATGATGTTCTACTAACAGGCCCAGACCTTAACAACACCCTTCTCTGGGTCCTGATTCGCTTCAGAAAAGAGGCCAT